ATTTTATTTTTAGAAAAACTGAGTCCTGGTGTCCTCTACAGAGGACATATAACTTATGAATAAAATATAATTTTTCAAAAATGTTATTTTACCATTTTTTCCTTATGCTCTAAACAATGTAGTTACATGAAAAAATACTAAATTCACAAAGCTTTTTATTTCTGGTTCTCAGAAGGATATGAGAGAAGTAAAAGAGAGAATTAATGCAGTAAATTTGAATGAAGAAATGGAATCCAGTAAATCTGGAAAAAGTCATTCAGAAAATTGGAACAAAAATACAAGAAACAAAATAAATAGTTTGGAGAACTAACAGAGAAGGAAGTATGCACCCAAAATAAACTCAACAGAATGAGTGCGAAGACAGCACAAACAGGAATTATTAATAAAGCAGGGCAATACATTGCACATTCACGATTTATCTGTGCTGATTTTACTGTCGATATAAAAGCATTGTAAATATTCCAATGATTTTAATGCCGCTTTTATTTGGCCATTAAGTTTCCTAAAGACTGTATCATTAATCTAGATTCTTCCTTGTCTCATGACTCAAGAGTATAAAAGCATTAAAACAGCAGCATCTTTAGAAGGAAGGAGCTGGAGCAGCACTCTGGATCCACATGACTGGAAACAGAATCCTTTAACAATCCCGTAAGCTTCTGCCGGGACTGAAGAGTAAGAGAAGCAACAGCCTGAGCACCTGAAATATTACACAGATTTCACAGAGCCAAAATGAAATCTCTATGAATGTAGCCTGCCATGTCTTTCAATACTATTGTATCTATGCTGTTATATATTATTATGATGTTACATATCCAAATAGGATATGTAAATCCAAAAAGGCATGGCTTTAAATAAATAACAAACATAAGTACATGCATATATTATACATTACATTACATTTACATTTAGCAGACGCTTTTATCCAAAGCGACTTACAAATGAGATACATACATACCATTCAAATATTTGGGGTCAACAAAAACAGTAATATTGTGAAATAGCATTACAATTTATAAATATTTTAAATGTAACATTCCTTTGATGGCAAAGCTATTCAGCGTCATTACTCCAGTCTTTACATCATCCTTCAGAAATCAATCTAATATGCTGATTTGCTGCTTCTTTTTAAAAATTAAATTAATTTTTTTAATTAAAATTTATTTTTTTAATTTTAACATTTCTTATCAATGTTGAAACAGTTGTGCTGCTTAAAATCATGGTAAAAATTTCATGTCAACAGCACCTTTAGAAATATATTTACTGAGGAAAATGGTGATGTGTTCAATACTTATTTTACCCGCTGTATTTAAAATGTGTATTATGTATTTTCTTTTAAAAAATTTACAAAAAAAAAAGTTTTTAGTTTGCAGCAACTGCAAATAAACCTGTGTTAAACTCCATATAACGGCAATAAAGTCATGTTCAATTCTATAAATATTCCTTACTGTTGTTAAACATTTACCTGTTATCTGGACAAATGGTTCGATCAGAGCAAGTCCAAGCCTCTCTATCACGGCCACTCCATGTTTCCTCAAGTAGTGATGCAGAATAGGATGTATTACTTTTTGGCATGCAAATAATATCACTTTGTCCTTAACAACTTGTTCCCCAAGCTTCAGGAGCTGCTGAAGGAGATCACGCTCTGGGTCCACTCCCCTATGGATCTCTAAAACCACATCTTCAAGATCAGAAATATCACCTGACAGTGATACGTTGAAAACCACTACCTTAAATGGACCAGATCCCAGTCTCTTAAGATCCACAGTCTGAAGCATCTCCGGGACATCCACCAGCAGTCCTGGGAAAACAGAAGAATCGCTCACAGATTGGCCCTCAATGCCGATGGTGACTGTCCTTCCAAAGCAGGTCACACCGGAAGAGTTGCAAGGGGTGGAATACAAGAAGGCCTGTGCGATCAGTGAACTGATATGCTGCGTTTCCTTGCTATTCAACATACAGGCTGGTTTGCTGGTGATCATGCCAGTGCAATGAGTGTATCACAGCTGGTGAAGTCTACTGGCACCTTACAACCACAAGAGTCTCCTTTAAGATACGTGTTGCATTCTTCCACGATGTGTTTGTATACCTTGGCTGCTGCAGCTGTTCTGAGGTTATATTTTTGAGTATTTTCAATAAGTCTAAGCATCAAAATCCCCATAAACAGCCCAGAGTCACTGTACCGTGCGGTGTGATGTTGAACAGCAGTTGATATCATTTTGAGAAGCGGCTCAGACATATCCACTCGCTTGAGCAGGGCTGTAGAGGTTGAAGCTGTCAAGACGTGGCCGCCAACATTGTTGTGTATTTGTTTCAGTCTGCCAGTAGGTCCGTAGGCAGTACTCAGTATATTTCTCAACAGAGCCATCTTTTGGCAGATGCTACTGTTGGAAAGTGGTTCATCTGTGCACACAGCAGGCTGCTTCTTACAAATGCGAGACATACTGTGGTTTCATTCAGAGAAATTTACTGATGGTTAACGATATAGGTCAGTTACTTTTCAATAACCAGAAACGAATAGATCATGTTTAATAGTACAATATTATAAAGTGTAACGTTAACGTAAATATTCTATGTAGTCAAGGTCATGAAAACTGCATGCATAATAATTGTAAAACAATTAGTAAAACGTTGTTTTAAAGTTTAGCATGCCACTTCGCAAATACTTTAGGTCAACTAACGTTACCCATTAAAATGACTTGTTAGCATTACTGCAATCATATGAAGAATCGATGCTGATATCTATTCAAAACAAACGCAATATCTCATAAGACGTGAAGAGACGTGTAAAATGTAGCATACGAGTCTCGTAACGTTACATACCCCAAAGTTCATCTTATTGTTAAACTAACTAAACATATAAGAAAGAAAAACATTAGAATCTTAAAACCTAACGGTAAAAGCAAAGCAGATTGTCTTACACATGCTCGTATAAGAAACGTATAAAACACTAATTGCATTTTAAATAGCTAAGATTATACATTAAATGCGTGACTAATTTTGTTTAGCTATATATTGTCACGGATGTTTCGCAATTTACTTGGAATAACGAACGCGGCTGTCTGGCAAAGTATGCAGCCTCCTACATCCGACTGCGTCTCCGTGACAACTGCACGCGCCGGGGTCCTAACGTGACAGGGCAAGTTTCAAACCATCGGCGGGAGAAAATATTAAAGCGTCTTTCGTAATTACTATTTTATTGTTATGCTCGAGTCGTTTTAATTAAACGTATAGATTGTATATTGTCAATTATATCCATACAACCCAGGAATATCATAAGAAAATCTGTGAGCGTCATTTTACCATCCCTTCCTGCTTTGTGTTTTTATTTAGATTTTCTACTACTTCAGTCCAACTGCATCTGTCACGAACACGTGAGTATTTCACGCTAGGGATTTGGGTTTCATCATCACTATATGAACATATTCATGCTTTCAGCAATAACAAGTCTTTTTGGGTTTCTTTAAAGTTATGAAATTGTGACCATTTTTGTGTATGGATGATCAGCGCATTTTCTTTGGATTTTTGCAGTGTCTCATCAGAATGCAGTCTTCTAAATTTGTAGTCAAGGTATGTGAACATATTTATTTTATCTGTTGATTGTAGAAACTTGGCCATTGCTGTAGTATTTTGTGTTGACATTATTGTTTTTAATTGTGAATAAATTAAATATGCAAGGCCATTTCCGCTTTGGTAAATCATGATTATGACATAATTTCGACTTTTACTCAAGCATTTTAGACTTTTTATGTCATCATTTTAGACTTTTTTTTTAATGGCATATTGACTTTTATGTCATTATTATGACATTTTATTTCATAATTTAGAATTTTATCAATGTTTTTTTTAAAAGGTTTTTGTCTCAGCATTTTTACTTTTTGTTTCATACTTTTGACTTGCGTCATGACATCTGTCATATTTATACCTTTATCTCTTTTTATTCCTTTTATGTTATAATAAAGGATATGATATATATAAATATGATATTTAACTTTTTATGACATTGACTTATGTCATGATTATGACTTTTTATCTCAGAATTTTGAAATGTATCTAATCTTTTTGTTTTTACTTTTTGTCTCATAATTTCCACTTATGTCATAATTATGATTTCTGTCATATTTATGACTTTTTATCCTAATTTAATCTCTTATGTAATTATTGTGACTTGAAATCATGACATGCTGTGCCATAGTTATGAGTGCCCAAAGCATGATTTTTTTCTTGTGTGGCAGAAACCTCTTTGTATTTATAAGGAATCTTAAGAAAATGCATGGAGACTTAAGATCAAGGCAAAAGTTATGTTCAGTAGCTCCTCACTGCAGTACCTAAGATCCAGGGGGCGAGGTTACATCCACATCCGGGGGTGGAGAGTTTAGGGATATGTATAGTGGGAGGAGTTGGATTTGGATTCAAACTTGCCCCCTGGATCTTGCAGTGAGGACCATCTCGTGCAGTTGAAAAAAAATCTACCTGTACTTTACTTTCCTAACGCTAGAGGGGGTGGTCGCTTCAGCAATGAGTTGCCTCGGGTAGTACAACAGCATTGAGCTGTCTGAATGTATTCAATATGTAGATGTATACAGAACATTGCTACAACTTTTTCATGTTGTCCGTTTGTGCTCATTACTTGTTCAGCCTGCGTTTTGTTACAATCCATGCAAAAAACCTTTCAGATTTCATCAGAATGTTGGGGTTGCATTATATTTTCCGTACCTCAGTCTCCTTCTTTTACATTGCATCCTATTTGGATGTTTTTATAATCATGCATGTATCTATCCAGCTGAATGTCTCCGTGTTTCTCAGCAGCACAGATGCTGGACCGGCCCTGTCTATTCATCCACAGGCCAGATGAATGAATGTCAGTGCTAATGCATGTCAGATGTTTCTATTAAGCACTAAAAAGCCCCGGGTTTCTTTCTTTGTTGATGTTTCATATAGTGAAGGCTTTAACTCTAGTTCCTGGACGCTGCTGTGGATCACACACATCCGCGTTTAGTGCCAGACTTTGGCTGCATATTTCTCTCTTTCTGTCTTTCTCACTCATCATCTCTCCCGTCTTTCTGTTTTTCATTGTGGGAGAGCGCCACTCACCAACTTCACCCTCCCAGTCTGCACATAATGATACTGTTATATATGTTGCTCTCCCTGAGAAAGGAACTGTCATGCCCAACGCTGTGACCACAGGGAGACATTTAAAAATGGGGAAGCAAACAATACCATCAGCTGACCCAGTTCTCAGCTTTGGTTCGGCACTAAACACACTGTTCTAGCGGCACAGAAAACCTGTTTCATTTTTTTTTATATTAAAATATTTTATTCTATCCCAGCTGAAAGGGATTCCAAAGAAGGTTGAAAACCTGAAAATTCTGATTGTTGACCCTCATGTTGTTCCAAACATGTATGGCTTGCTTTCTTCGTTGGAACAACTTTTTGTCCACACAATGAAAGGCATTATATTGCATAAAATGCCTTACATGTTTGGAACAACATGAGGATGAACACACCCAAAAATGAAAGTATACTCACACTCAGGCCATGCACATCCAAGTAGATGGGTTTGTTTGTTCATCGGAATAGATTTGGAGAAATTTTGCATTACCTCACTTGCTCATCAGTGGATCCTCTGCAGTGAATGGGTGCAAACAGTAGTCCAAACACTTCATAAAAACATCACAATATGTAATCAACACGACTCCAGTCTATCAATTAACATCTTGTGACGTGAAAAGCTGCATCTTGGTAATAAATTCAAATACATTTTTAACTTCAAACCTCTATCTATAATATTGCAAGGAAAACGTTGTCTTGTCTGAATCAGGTGAAAAATATACGGTGCATGTCAAGCATCGTTTACAAGCAAAAACAATTCTAAACAAATATGTTGGTGGATTTTGATGTGAGAGGACAACAGAGGATGGACCTTTTCACTGGAGGAAGCATTTTAATTAATTATTGATTGGTATTTTGTGCATAAGTGGCCAGAAGATAAAATAACTTATTGATGGATTTTTTTGTGAACTTTTTGAAACCTTGTGAACTTTTCACTTTTTCATTTCACCTGATGGTGTGTACATTTTCAGCAGACTTTCATTTTGGGGTTAACTATTCCTTTAGGACAACTACAAGTACACTGTAAGAGAAAATACATAGAAAATTGGAAAAATTACTGATAAATTTTTGCCAGGACATTATCAGTTATGTTTACTGACATTTCCTTTAACCCTAATACAAAATACAGGTAACACACCTGTGTAAGTGATTTGTAGAGTCATTCTTTGAAGATCCTGACAAGCTTGACACTTGTTTCCACTGTGTTTCCACTGTGATCATGTTTCCACTGTGCAGTGCAGTTTTTGTAGGCGATGAGATGCTCCCACGTAAGTTGACTCATGCTACAAGTCGAGGCCCTGACTTTCTCCTTAACGCCTCAGAAGACACTGAATATTTACACAAGACCTGCCACGCCACTCCGCTGTTATACCCATCTGGTGTAGGAGATGGTGGGAGAGCGCAATTCTTGTTTTTGAGTATGAACGTTAAGTGCTGGGTAGCATGACAGATGTCTTGGCTCTGGTTTGTGTGCTAGGTCGACTTCCCTGGTAGATATGGACCACACACTTGGACCTCCGAGCATTCTGTTACTGTCATCAAATCAAGGAAATATGTTGCCATTTCTGAAATGCAGAGGAAAAACTGAGATGGATGCAGCTTAACAGACATGGGAGGATGTCATAGAATTCTTATGTATTGTCTTTTTAGATGATGTCCAATATATATTTTTTAGTTGCTGCAGATATTTAGGTTTACAAACTTAATGTAGGTAGTTTAGCAGTAGTTCTGTAAACTACAGTTACATTACATTGTAAGGAAGTGGAGGGATGGTTGTTTGGTTTTTCCTGTCTCCCGATAGTTCCTTTTTACTAGAATTCTTGGGAGCTTTCTGATATTGTTCAATTGTTTGAAGAGCTTTGCCAGGTGATATTCCTGCCTGTACGGAAAAAACACAACTCCATTCAGGTGTGATAACATCCAGAGATTAACTTAGACAGCACTTCAGAGTTCCTAGAAATAAAGGCCAGCTTAGTCATAATCACTGATTTATTAGTGGTTTGTGTTAAGGTTGTCAAAACCCCTGACCCTAAGCAGTGGCTCCAGACTAAAAATGATTAGGGATTTGTTTGGCTCCTATAATAAACATTAGCTTATAAACAAATTGCTTTAATTTAGCAAATGGCTTCTCTGGTTAAACAATACAGAATTGCCAAATAATTGTACTTTTGTACAATATAATTTATTTCAAGGAAAAAAAAAAAGCTCTCTAATGGGTTGTTTAGAATCACATAGCCAAAAAATGACTTCTGGTTAGGTGTGGGAGGGAGTCCATTTCGAGTAATGCCTCTGATTGATTTAAGGCTGAGTGAGTTTGATTCAAACTGATAATAAAATCTGAATATTTTGGGGATCTGTTTAAACAATTCATTAAAAGAGTAATCATTGGTTCATAAACCAGACATCACAACTCTTGTTGTGTTCATTGTTGCATGCAGCAAACACCAGCACACACACTAAAGGTGTAATTAAAGAACACCACCTCATGAGATGATATCTAACAAAACCACATACCTTATATTTTTCTATATCACTGTACAAAAATACTGTCATATGTATGGATTTTATGAGTAAAAATTATAACCATATAATTTAGAGCGAAAAACAGTAAAAGGACATTCTCTCTCTGGCAGAAGTCCTTGCGTGACACATTACATGTGACTATGATTTATATAAATAAATGTATTTCTTATTTTTGTTACTTATCAGTATTGTACACGAGGGTGTTTTGTGTTACATGATATTTATGTTATTTAGTTAATGTTTATTGTATTATTTTAATGTCATATGTGGTAACCCTGATGGTGTTTTGACCCTGAGCACCCTATTGTTTTCCTGTAAATTTTAACTTAATATTTTTTGCAGTGTAATTTTTTATTTATTGTTGCAAATCTTAAGTTGTCGGTCACATTTTTAGTATTTCAGTTAAGTTGCTAAGTTTGTTTTGCATGGATGTAAGTCTCATTTGGCTTATTGAAGTGAGCTGTACTGTTGTCTAAGACAAATGCCATATAGACCTTTATTGAAAGAGGGGTTTGAGCCATATCTAAAGAAACCATCACAGAACACCTTAGCAACCCCATAGCAACATCCTGGCAACGACCCAAATCACGCTAGTATCATAGCGCTGAGTTTTGCATGTAAAAATCTAGTTAAACTTGTTTGTGTCTTATTATAAGTTATAGCTCTCTTGCTGTTTAAGATTGACAGCGTTAATGTTGACCCTCTTGAGGGAACGCCAAGTGACTCACGCCATACAAAATCAGCAATCAGCTTTTAACAGGCAACACCCATAGATCTGAAGAATTCCCTCAGGCTCCGGAGACTGTTCGTCGACCTGCAACGCTCTTACAAAGACAAAGATGGAGCTAGACGAAGGGGGAAGTTTTATTGAGTGAGACTGCTTCTGCTGCCCTCTGTCTCTTTCTCTCTCTCTCTCTCTCCCCGCATAAACATCTGTGGCTGGTTAATGTTAGCCCCGGAGCTAAGTGCAGAGAAAAGGGGTCTGGTTCTCACAGCAGCGATAGCAGTGGTAAAAGGGCAGGGAGGTGTGGTGGCGAACAGGCAACTGCTGCACAAATGCTCCTGGGCCAACTGCCCAACACTAATCAGAGAGTGAGGGCAGGAGAAAGCGCAGTTGGGGAGGGTGAAACTGATAAGAGAAGGTAAAAGGGGAGCATCTTGGGAGCTGCAAGTGATTTAGAGCAGAGCCAAGAATCCAAAAAGCCAAAAGCGACCAAGTTTGCCTCATGTGTTTTCTCAGCGATTGGGAGTAGAAAATAGCACGGCTTAGTCGTGGACTTCGGTCAGAGCGGCGGGGACTGATTTGGTACGGTTTTGTTTTATTGTTTGTTTGGTTTCAGGGCCTTTGTTGTGTGTTTTTGGCAGGCCGTGCTGATCTGATAAAGAGTGAAAGGTAAGAACAAGCTTAATCAGGAGGTTATTGACCCACAGGAAACTTCAGGTGTATTCAACGAGGATCAACAAACAAAAGGATATAGAAAAAGAAAGAAGCAGTTCTTTGCCTCAAGCCATATAGACAATAATTTATATGGTGACGACTAAGAAAACCTTGTATGATCCTATCTGCAAAGGGTTTCCTGAAGACAGTATCACTCTTCCTCTAGAATTTGACAAAGAGCTGTCAAGACTTTCATTGCACAACAGTGAAGGATTTGTTAAAACCATTGCAGGTGTTTAACATAAGCAGACTAATAAATCACACATGGATGAAAAATAAACCAGTGCATGAAAAAGTAACTCTGCAAACAAAAGAAACTCAGCAAACAAACCTAGATTACATTTCTGAGAAATTTCATGTATCCACCGAGGAATTGTTTAACAGAGGTTGTGCAGCGGCTAAGGTCAGAGATCAGAGGTCAGAGACCGATCTCTGCAAATACAGCCAAGGATTTTCTTGTTTACTGGCATAATAATAGACTTTGGATGGGCTATAGTATTTGTTATTGTGAAGTTTTGCAGTTGAACTATTTTGAGACTCAACAAATCTCACACAACAAATATGAATCCAAATCTGTAGATCTTTTTTATTGCAGTTTGGTAATGCAACATTGTTTAACTTGCTTGTTTTCATGCAAACAGGATGGTTGTTAAATGTACAAAAGCTTGGAGTGGCTTAGGCCTGACTCTTCCATCCAATCAAACGGGCATCTTTCAGTTTCCTTTTTTAAAGGGATTGTTCACCCACAAATAACAATTCTGTCACCATGTGCTCAATTACTTGTTTTAACTGTATTTCATTGCTCATGCAACAAAAGTCAGGAGGTCCAAAGCAACATCAGACCCCAGACTTTTACTGTATGGACAATAAATAAATGTTGTGCTCTGTAGAAAGAAGAAATACATACAAGTTGGCACAACAAAATAACACAATTTTGACACCAATTGCTCTAATCTTTCATGAACCAGCCCTTGTCAGCCGAATTAACTCATGTTAACTGCACATTTAAAGACAGGCACCATATTAGGCAAATCCAGTTTACTGCCTCTCCCTGTCCTATAGTCACACAGGGCCTGGAAAAGCCGAGTGAACATGCCTCTCTAGCACTGGGAACATTCCTACAGTCATCTGTAATGGCATATTTCAGATTTCGAAAAGAAAGTGGAGAAAACAGAACAGCATGCGATAATGTGGTGGTTCCAGAGGCAGCATACGAAGACACATTATGGGGTCATCGAAGCCGAGCTCCTTTTCACCGCCTGATTGACAGTTCCCGTCCATCCCCTCCAATGCTTTCCCACGCCACAGTAATTGTGGAAGGCAGTCAGCCGAAACCACTGGTCAGTCGCAGAATGGCCACAGCACAAAGACGTGTAGAGAAAGCCGCCCAGTGTTTTCTAAAGGATCTGCTGTTCTCCACATACACACATACATAAGGATGCCTCTGTTTCTTCTTTTAGCTCTTGTTTCCGCTTGCCTGCAAATGATTAACTCTTTCTTGGCTTCAAAAGCTTCATCGGATGAGATGATGGATGATGGAATGAATGTATCTGTATTGATCTCAATGAAATGAAAACGACCTTAACACAGATCCTAACAGAGCTGTCTCATGTGTCACCACCTATGTATAGCCACTTATCCTTAAAAAAAGACTTCCATAGTCTAACACAAGGGGGCAGCCTGTCCCTCAAGTTCAGCAGGGCCGCCATCAAGCTAACCCTCATGTACACAAAGCAGCAATTAGAGGAAAATATGCTTTCATGTCAAAAACAAAGCTATTTGGCAGCACGATTTGGCCTGTCTGTGTGCTAATAACGTGCCGTAATCCTGCTTGACTGGAGATTAATTCAGAGGTTAGAAGCCAAACGAGAATGCTGGAGACGTTTTATTTACTCAGTCGCTGTAGATTCCTCTGGCATGGGGAGGCATAAATCATTGCTTATGGGACAAGAGAGAAAGAGACAGAGGAGATGTAAAGAGAGAGAAATTAAGTGTAGAGAGCGGTGCTGAACAATGGGCTTTACCCAACACACCCTTCTAATTCACTCTCACATCATCCCTTCCCAGCTGGCCTCGGAGAACCCAGAACATTATTGCCTGGCCACTTTAGGACTTCTCCAGGGCCTACTAAAACGCACACTCACTCACTCACATGTGTTCTATCGGGGTTTTATCAGGCACTCTGGAAGTGCTCTAGAGTGTGTTCTGGACTGTGTCTTGAAAAGGGGAATTTCTTCTTGTCTGCTCCCCTCTGATGTCATCAGCTCGTTCCCCCTAGCGTCAATCAAGTTTGTGTCCACATTTGCTTTGAGCTCAGGTGTTGACATGCTTCAGCACCAGCTCCTCTCCGGCCTCTTGCGGGTGGTCCTGGAAAGGACTGTGTGAGAGGACCGAAGCACAGTGACAGGCTTGGTCTTGCGCTCATGTGTAAAACATAATCAGGCCGGTGTGGACCGGAGATGTAACGATTGCCTAAATGGCCGCGACGGCTCTGGCTCTCCTACTCCGCTGTGACTTATTGTCCCTGACGTGCTGACGCAGCGCTCCAAGAATCCCACTCTTCGCATGAAGTTCTGCAGCCTCCCCGAATCTGGCCCTCTTCTCGTCACATTTCCATAAACTAACAGGTTAGCGAGGGCATCCTTTAGTAAGGCATCTCCTCAAGCTGCAAATACTTTGCTGTATCAGTCTTCCGCACGGCTTTGGTTTTAACACCACCATCTTTGAGATCAAGTGTATCTGGTTACTGACATAATGCTAATGAGGTGCATTTACAAAGCTTGTAAAACTGGTGTGCAGAGAGGGGGAAGCAGATGCACAAAGAAAAGAGGAAGGGGATGGAGTGACTTGCCTTCAGCAATGAATTTGAAGGTGTCATTCAATCAGCTCAGTGATGACTTCTTTTTGTTGTGTTTAAGCCCCCATCTCTCTCTCTTTCTCTCTCAAAGTGTGGGAATTTCGCCGTGCTAGTGGATCTTCACATACTGCCCTTAGGTGGCCAAGACAATGCCAGCTGGTTCTCTCCAGAGCACAGGAAGGTACGGGAATAAGGGTGTGTTTCTGTTTGTGTATGTCCTCTTACACTTCAATAGACTGATACTGCAGGAATCTGGAATTTGGATTTACTCTTGGGGATCCCCCCATCCTCCTTCTGCTTTTATAAGATATATGTTTTCATTGGCCCATGCAGCCAAAAGGCTTTGAATGATTTTCCCTCCCAGGTTTAACTCTACATGCAGAACGTCTAGTTAAATTTGAGCTCCATATAAAAAGTTTAGGACGAATGTCACCTTGGGAGGTTTGTCTTTGTTTTCAAGATTGCAAATATGTGTGCAAACTCTTGTGCGTTTGTATGCACAGGAAGTCGGCTCGCTGATTAGAGATGCATTGGAGCTGAGGGTGAGGCAGTTTCAAGAGGCCAGATACCAGAAGATCCAGCCCAAACCAAGGAAGGATCTCACCCTGACCGCCCCGCTCTGTCATGAAGGTATAGCACACATGGGCTCTGCATACTGTCTAGTAGTACTAATATGGGTTTGAAACTTACTTCGAGTCGAAAAAGCGTGTTCTTTATAGTATGAATATGGTAGTATGAATGAAATTCTGACATACTGCATCCACCATATTGTCACTGTCACATGACCTACCAATACCAGTGGTGGAAGTGACTGTATCACTTCATTGACAACTTCTCTCCCAAAGCCTCATGGGGAATTTTAGAGTGCTAATCAGATGCACACTTTAGAATCTAGCCAGAAGTAATGGGTCATCTGGGTACTCTTCACCTAGGGCTGGGTGATATGGCCAAAAAATTATCTCAGTATTTTTTTTTCATATCAGTCGATATCGATAATTATCACGAAAAATGTTACATGTTTATTTCTTTCAAGTTTAAAGGCAGATTTTTGCTCCAATGTGAAAGTTGTAAAAACCAGATGGTTAATTGTGGTTTTCAACTATTCTTTATGGTCAGAACATGACAAACACTTCTCCAGTAATTTTTCCTTAAAGTCCCCCTGTAGTCAAATAATTGATCCCTTAAAACTTATCTTTGATCATCAAAATTACATATTTAAATGTTTTTTCTTGTGAACATAATTTTCTCATGCCTTAAAATCGCTTGAATGTAACTCTACACCCTTGCCTCATTTACTATAGCTGATCTATGAATATGCAAATGAGTCCCGCCTCCACTCAGTCACACCAGCCAACGCCTCCTGATCCACTGAACTGTAGTAAATGCAAAACAATGGCATACACGGATAATGACTGATAAAACTATGTTTTTACTAGCGGACAACTACAGTGAATACTGTAACATTTGTTAAAGTTACTTACTTGACGATGTTTTGTCCTAAAATGCCTTGAAGACTCGAATGCAGCTGTTTGTGATTCTTAATTCGCACCCGCGAGCATACACGTGTGAAGTGCAGACGCCGATGCGGGAGAGGTGGGCTACTTTTACACTGTTGCCACGGGTTATAATGCAAGTTAGCAGTTCTAAATTCACGTTAAACCACAGCCTCACAGGTTTTTTGCTCTGATTTATTTTTGTTTTTTTGCTGGTATTGGTATATTTTGCATGTTAGTGATAGGAATCTATCCCTTGACGTGATTGGTTATTGGATTGTAACGTAGCAAACCAAGGGCTGTTTCAAACCGCATTTCTTGGACTGCCATTGAGAAACTCCAGTGTAATGAGAAAATACTCAGCAATGGTGTTGATTAATAGATTGGCACATGGTTTGTCTAAAAGCATATTAAAAACACCACATAGACAAATAAACAACATAAAAAACTTGATTTTCACTACAGGTCGACTTTAACAAAATAAATATCTTAATAGAACAAAATAATTTCTTAGTTCTGCATGTTCTAGTAAAGAGTAATATTGTTTCAAATCAAGAAACAAGTTTGTGTTGCCTGATAATATTAATTACATTTTAATTAGGATGCAGATGTAGATTTGTGTTCATTATCAAAATCAGTAATATCTGTAAAAATTGTAGCAATCTCATTTTTATATGGTGAAATTTAATTATTCTGACTGTTTAAGGTGTTTTTTTTAACCATTGGTCTTCCATAATATACATTTAGATCATGATAATCACAGTTAAAACCACATATATAGCACCTCAATACCATGGTAAAAATGTAATATGGTTTGTAGGCATTTATGAGAAACATTAGTCTAAATACATTTATAAATGCATAAACGCTATAGCTTAATCACAACAAAATACTGTAATTATATTCCATTACTCCTCCTTCAATATATTTAATACGTCTACATTAATAATATAATAAAATTCGACACGAATACCCACACTTCTGATACAATACCATGGTGCAGTTAGTGCTACTACAGTAAATCCATGGTAAATGATGGCGATTTGTAGATTAAAAAGTCTTCTGATTGTATCGTTGCGCTCAGTGTTTCTGCTGTTTGTCAGTGCTTTCATCTGGCTGTAAACAGAGTTGTTTGTGTTCCTTGCTGAATTCAAGTGCTTCACACTGGATCTCACAGCGTTGTTCAGTGTCGCATCAGCGAGTGAACCCATCTGCTCTAGTGAAGCTCGCGCCGCTGTTTGAACTTTGATCCGAGCGGATAAACGCTCCGAGTGGCACACTTCAAATGATTAGAGCTCTTTCGTTCCGCCTTTGCCGCATTATATCAAACATTTATCAAACTCTTGTTATCGTTTATCGAGGAAATCTATATCGTGCGATAATTATCGTTATTGATTTATCGCCCAGCCCTATCTTCACCTACTGTTTTATGAATTCGGACATACTCATCTCACGTACTATTTCTCACCTACTATAGGGTTAATAACCTCCATACATAGGCAGCATTTCATAGCATTTCTTTTCTAGAGTTGTTGCTGTTTAGTTGGCAATGTTAGATATCTAACTGCATCATTTTGTTTATGCCATTGGGATGTGTTCAGAAGATGATGACGTACATACCCATCTCTTAGGTTCATTAATGTCTACTAATGTTTAAATATACTGATTTATATTGTACCCATTTGAACCACAAATACCACTGTACTCTTTCAATACAATACCGAATGTACGTGTCAAGATAAGAAATATCTGTTACACCTGCATATTTGACAATTTGCTATAGGCTATTGAAATATATAATTACCCATGATCAAGCTGCAAGTGAAGACCTGTCTTTCCCTCACACCTACTTCAGAAACGATGTCTCCTTCATAAACACGAGACATGTCACACTGCTTCACAGCTCGATCACTCTGTACATGGTTGTCCCACAGATTTCAAAACAAAGTGGAGAAATTGAGGCTATACCTGCACGCCAGCAAGAATAAAAACTAGTTGAGACTAGGTAGCACTCCCCAGGAGTGTCTCCACCGCCCCCACAGAGATGTAGGTGAATGTGTTTGACTTGGCTTTTCTTCAGCATATATGCAAGCCACCTCTGTTTCTTTCCTTCATATTCTCTTATTGTGTTTTAACTGTATGTTGACCAAGAAGCTACCAGATTTTTTTTTTTATTAATTACAAAGTTCTTTTGAACATCCGAATGAAGTCGAACTTTTACTTTATGCCTGTTGTCAACAGATTGGTAAAAAATAATTATTTGTGCAGCGATTCCCATCTTTCAGATCCTATGAGAACATTTTTGTTTTGTGTGAACTCGCCCAATTTTCTTGATATTTTCGTAATTAGAATTTCCTGTATTAATTTTTCCTACGGTATTTTTATATTCATGGACAAATAACTGTTATGAACCAGTTCTTTTTAGTAAATCCAAAAACAAAACATAAAAAAACCCCAAAACAAAACGCAACAGCGTGACTGGTGTGACCTGATTCCTAAAATGAACAATTCTTACTGTTTAGTGAATTGAATACCTTGCATTAAACATACAAAGTGACTAGTGTAGGTTGTTTCATGAACAAATGTAATTCAGTTCAATTAAATTAAATGATCAGTTATCAGGTTGAATCAGTCTGAAACACTGTAAATCCTGTATAATTTCCAGCATTGGCAAAGACCGAATTAACAGTATAAATGAAATAAACTCAAATGATTCATTATCAAGTTGAATTGAAATCTAATCAAATCGAGTCATAAAAATGTATGATTCTGAATCAAATTGAAAGGGTAAATCTGCTACCCAGCCCAATTATTATAAGACCGTTCATAGCTGTCAGTGTTTTGGACTTGTTTTCTCTTGTTTTACCCCTGTCTTTTTCCCTGATTTTCCATGTATGGTCTTTTTCCTGTTCTCGTTTAGTTTAGTTTAATTATGATTCCTGGCACCTGTGTTTGTTAATTATCCTGTGTATTTAAGTTCCTGTTTGTTCCTTCCTTTCTGTCGGGTCTACTCGGTGAGTTCGTGCATTTGCTTCAGTTTCTATGTTGGAATCTCCCCTGTGTTTCCTTAATAAAGATGGTTTATGATAACCCGTGCCTCCTGCATTTTCCCTGCAACGACGAACCGTGACAGAAGACCCGACCAAGGACAGTAAGCGGCGCCCCCACTCCACGTGTTTGTTTTTCATTTTTAAAAGTGTTTTGATTTTCCGTTTGTCAGTCAAACCAGCCGGCCGCAGCATTCTCAAGCCCGCTGACCACGCCTTTCACCCTGAACCTAAAGGGGAATCTAAGGAGGAGAAGGCAGTCGGCTCCAGCCCCAGTGCCCGCTCCAGTGTGGGCTCCAGCCCCCGAATACAGCCCAAAGAGGGCTCCTGTCCCCGAGTCTAGCCCAGTGAGGGCTCCTGTCCCCGAGTCTAGCCCAGTGAGGGCTCCTGTCCCCGAGTCTAGCCCAGTGAGGGCTCCTGTCCCCGAGTCTAGCCCAGTGAGGGCTCCTGTCCCCGAGTCTAGCCCAGTGAGGGCTCCTGTCCCCGAGTCTAGCACAGTGAGGGTCCTGTCCCCGATTCTAGCACAGTGAGGGCTCCTGTCCCCGATTCTAGCACAGTGAGGGCTCCTGTCCCCGAGTCTAGCACAGTGAGGGCTCCTGTCCCCGAGTTTAGCCCAAAAAAAGCTCCAGTCCCTGAGTTTAGACCAGAGATGGCTCCAGTCCCCGAGTTTAGCCCAGAGAAGGTTCCAGTCCCCGTGTCTAGCACAGAAAGGGCTCCAGTTCCCATGTCCAGCCCAAGGAGGGCTCCAGTCCCCAAGTCAATCCCAGGGAGGGCCACAGTTCCCGAGTTAGGCATACGGGGGCCTCTAAAGACGATATTCTCCCCAAGGATTTTTTTGGGGGGGGTAGTAGAGGTCCATCCGTGGAGGCCAGGCCAAGTGCAGAGGCCAGACTCTCCGAGCTCACTGTTCTGCCATGGCCTCCTGAACTGTCTGCTCCGCCACGGCCCCTGAGCTCCCTGTGCCATCATGGCACCCTGGACTGCCTGATCTGCCATGGCTCCTTGTACTGCCTGTCCCGCCATGGCCCCCTGAGCTCCTTGATCCGCCCTGGAGGCCTCCCGTGTCTCCGTCCTGTACCAGCCTACAGGG